GGTTCTAGTTTATGAACCTGACAGTTTTGTTTGGTTCTAGTTTATGAACCTGACAGTTTTGTTTGGTTCTAGTTTATGAGCCTGACAGTTTTGTTTGGTTCTAGTTTATGAGCCTGACAGTTTTGTTTGGTTCTAGTTTATGAGCCTGACAGTTTTGTTTGGTTCTAGTTTATGAACCTGACAGTTTTGTTTGGTTCTAGTTTATGAACCTGACAGTTTTGTTTGGTTCTAGTTTATGAGCCTGACAGTTTTGTTTGGTTCTAGTTTATGAGCCTGACAGTTTTGTTTGGTTCTAGTTTATGAGCCTGACAGTTTTGTTTGGTTCTAGTTTAGTCTAATGTGTATGTAAGTGTTTGTCTTGCACCTGATTTATTATCGTAATTTTGTTTAATCTGAGCTCCGGTAAGTATGTTTTTGTTTTGTCAGTTAAGACGTTGTGTGATTTGTGAAATATGTGGTTTGGTCGGCTGTTCCACTGGTACACAGCGATCGTGTACTCACTGGAACTATTCTTCGGGTATCGTGTTATAGCAGGATGTACCTCGGATCTTTTGTTTTACGCCACTTACTCACTCTTGAACCGTCTGAAAAACAGTATTTATCCAAGCACAGGTCGAATTAAATACTCGTTTTCCTAAATGAAAGATAATAAATCAATTAATTTCTTAAATTTATGGCACGTAACCCTTCATGCGAGCTTAAATTGATAGCCAGCCAAAGCAAGTATTTACTGGCTGCGCATAAACTACTCCAAATCTTAAAGAATCAAAGAGTTTAAGTAGAGTAAATTTCATGGGTATCATTTATTCACTGACTGGAGTTACTTTTTACTTCGGATATTCGCGCACAGCTACACAACGTCTATGCTAGCCTACCTAACTTTGAACTGAAAGACCAGCTAACTTTTGAGCTGCTCTAATCAAATAGTGGGATTTGATCGTCACACTTATAACGCATTCACGGCCTCAAAGTGCGGAGCGCGATTTTTTGTTGCAGTGACAGGATGCGAACCATTGGTTCTCGGATCTCCAGTCCGGTATGTTAACCAATAGGTCACACCCGTCCTATAGTTAACGAATCAGTTTCGTCTAAAATATGCTGTAAATTCCAACTCGTGTTATCTAAATAAAAATTTGGACAAATCAATTTGTTTTAAAGAATCAAGTTTAGCAAAAGGGAAGATATTCAATAATCCGTATGGGAAACTTGATAGATACAGAACCTGCATCTGTGTGACATATTTCTGATCATTCAGCAGACAATGTTGTAGGGTGTGATCCTGGTTCATTTCTGAGCAATCGCAACATCAAGCTTTCTGAGCTCTGAATGGTTTAGATTAAGGCGTTGAAGCATACAACTTCAAGGAAGCTTGTCCAGGCTATATAATGTACAGAATAGCTATATGATAAAACGGACTGACACTTATGGTATGTGTGTTTGTGTTCGTTTGATTTCCAAAATTTTAGTTCAAACAATCTGTACTTTCATAAAAAAAAACTAATATGAACCACCAGTTAATGCAAAAATTAACCCCAAATGAAGTGTTCACCAAAACTAAAATTCAGCAAATTTACAAGACATGCTGTTTTTCCATGGTGGGTAGCACATCCAAAGCGCACCTTAACAGTTGTACTTTCTCATAATAGAACACAATATTAACGACTTGATGGTTTGCGTGTGTGTATTTACAAAAGATTCTTTTTATACAAACTTGCTTATGGGAAAATGATCTTACGATACACGCCAACTTGATGAATTTTAAAGCTAGAACTAAAAACTATAGAGTTTGAAAATTAAACATGTATTGTACTTATGTCTCTTGACATGTTGTTTAATCTTGTTAGGTGGACATAAATCAGTTTCCTAGTAAACTTATATTTGCATAATATGCACCTTTGTTGGCAGAGATAGAGAGCCTTAAAGATGCAACAACGAGTCCTAGTTAGGCTTAACATTTCTCAAGTTTCCCAACCACTATTCTTCAAGTGAAGGTAATACTCACCTGATACTGTTATTAGGAGTTAACGAGTATGTTGGACAATGTACCGCTCACCTGATACTTTTATTAGGAGTTAACGAGTATGTTGGACGATGTACCGAAGTAAGTACAACCGCTTCTAAGGTAAGCGTTTATTTGTTTGTTGTAAAACACAAAGCTACACAATGGGCTATCTGTGCTCTGCCCACCATGGGTATCGAAACCCGATTTTTAGCGTTATAAGACCACTGACTTACCGCTAAGCCACCGGGGAGCTCTAAGATAAGAAAAAAGTTAAATTGTAGTCTACCAGAAAACGGAGACGTCAATAGTGTGTAAGTTAGAAGTAGGACTATTCGTTCTTCTTAGATTAAA